CATAGTAAAACTATGTGTATGGTATACTTATTTTATTAAGGCTATACAAATCATATAAAATTGCTAGATTATTGTCCTAACTTATTTTGATAATTTATTTGTTTAAAAAGTCATAGAATTAAGAACTAGGAAATCCTATTTATTGGCAATTAAATATTTATATAGCAATTTAAGATTTGAGCTTAATATGAAATCCTTTTAGATGCTAATCAAATATTTATACGGCATTTCACGATTTTCAAACTCAACCTTCTTTTTTGGGTCAGAAAGTTTTGTAAGTTTTTTGAACTTTACTCCGCCCATGCAGCTGTTGCGAACTTGGTGTTGGGCTATGTTTAATGCCTTCTGAAAACTAGACTGTCTGTGTAAGCCCGAAGGTCACGTTCTCATACCGAAAACTTTTTGTGTGCCCGGCACTAAGATGCCAACGAATGACACATGGAAGCACTTTGAAGTGTTCGCCAAGGATCCTTTGTCGTAGTTATCGTTGGGCAGCTAACTATATGCCACATATCCGGGCCACAATCAACTCAACCTGTTCCTGCGCTCTGGCTGTGCTTGTGTGTTGTGAAAGTCGATTTTTTGAGCCGGCTGCAGGCGTCACTTGAGTCCACTTATTTATTGGATTGACATTTAAATTCAAAGTTGCCCTCAGTGCTGCCCATTGGCCAGCTGATGCACGACGCACTCCACTCGTTCTGGACAATTAATCAGCTTTACTTGACAGCATGTGACATACTTAGTAGCTGGGGTAGAGTATAAAAAATCTGCATGACTATTAAAAGAGGGGTCAGAATTTGGAGTAAATGTTGCATTTGTGCAGCATAAAATACAGTGTAGTCTCTCATCGTTTTATTTGCTGCTCATAGCTTTTTGTGGCATTTTAAAGCATTTAATAATTCAGGCTACATTTTTCTTCTTCTAAGCAGACATCATACATGGCAAACTGTTTCAGAACACACGCATTCTGGAGGTCGACTATGCCCAGGGGCGTGACATACCACCTGGCTATACAGGCAAGATAGTGGAAACTCTGCAGGCGTGGGTCAATTCCTGTGATGGTGTCTCCAATTGCATTGAAATGCAGATTAACTATGCAAATGCCGAGAAAGCCAAGCGCCTGTATAACAAGGAGCGCATCGAGCAGGAGGTAAGTGTACAGCCACACTATTGACCATCATGCTGAACCGTGTTCCACTTGAGTAGCTCATCAATTTGAAAAAAGTTCTAAAGAGCCAGGCCTCGGACAGTGATGAGAGCATGCAAATTGACACACATGGGCCGGGCACCAGTGGCACCAGCGGCATGAGCCAATCGGAGGTGCGCAAGAAGCCCACAAAAATGAAGAATCCACGCAGCAGTGCGGGTGAGTAAAATAATACATAAAATAACACTGTTTCAACAAATATCTGTTTTTATATGCCTTTCTTTTGAAGTTGGCCTTAAATTCAGCAAGTGAGTGCAGGCCGGCCGAGTGCCAAGAAGCCTGCTCAGGCCCAATTCGGCGCCGCGGGGCAGCTGAGAATTGGCACATTCGGCATGTACTGGAACCAAAATGCAACTCATTTAAAGACTTAATACAGCAATAGCAGCCGCATTCGCACCAGCATAAACGCACCCTCTGGTATCCATAATTAGTCATTAAACTTATTGCTAAATAATAACAATTAAAAATACAGTTCAGCAAATTTCAAATAAAATACCAGAAACGTTGCTACTTATTTTGATAAATGAGCTTGTCTAAATGCGATATTTGTTTACGTGCTCATGTCCATTTCATAGCATTTAATTTGCGTGCGGAATAGATACACACCCACACCCATATACAACTTCACGCATGAGTGTGCTTGTGTTCGCGCGGGCCGCACAATGTGGCATACATCAGTTATTTGCGGCTAATTAGCAATGCGCCCAACGAGGCGCGCAAACAGTGTGAAGTTAAATGCGTGCCAAAACATTTTGGACATTCCATGATTGCCTTTTCCTTTGCCACTCGCTCCATAATTGACCTGATTCCATCAAATGTTTCATAAATTTTCAGCAAAAGCGTTTAATGCAAAACTTATTTGGACGTCGAGCACATCAAAACACGATTAAGTGCTGTAATTTAGGGACACGATGGATTTTGGTATAGTAATATATTTTCAAAGCATATAATCATTTTTTTCTTACAGTGTCCATTTCGGAAGCATACCGAGTAAGTCGGGCATGCCGGACTAGGAGGTACCCCAAACTTTTTTCTAATAAAAGCAGAAGCACACATGAACCACTTTTGTGGTTTCAGGGTTAAATTATGAAAAAAAAAACATGGCATACATCAATTGATTTCTCATATAGATATGCATTTAATTGATTTCATTTGAGAATGCATATTAATGTTCATTAGCACATGCACATGAAAACAAACCGGAAACAACTCGAGCTGCTCGTTCACTTGATCGGGCTTTAGACATAGAAATAGATCTTTTGACGTTGTTACCTATTTATTAAGTAAAGTGGTAGCATTATAAAAAAAATAATTGTAATAAATTCTTCCCCTCAGCGATATTTTTCGCTTCAATCAGTCAAACAAAATAATTGCAATGCCTCACTCCCAATTAAAAGAAATAGCTCACGCATATCAATATATACGTACATATGTATATATGCATGTGATTGACGCTAACAGCCACGTGGTTATGTCAATATGCCCACACGTTTTCTTTAATAACATTACTTAGCCAGTTCTGGTGAAATTCGCAGTTCGCACAAAAGCAATGCTTTATTCATCCTGTTACATATACTTCCACAAACCATTATAGCCTTTATCAATGCTTTCTGGGTATTAAGTATATATTTATGTATGTGTATGTATTGTGAAATGAAAGATGAACCCAATTCCCACGCTATTATTTTTAATTATTGGCGTTATGAGATGTGCGGTAATGAGAAAAGTAGGGCTTGGACAGCGTATAACAAATTAAATATATTTAGCTGTTATACATAAATATACAAACAGGACCAAGCCTAGGTTTCGGCAGCGAAACTGAACCTGTGTAGATCTACTAAGCTTACTCTTGAATTGAATATTCCTATTCGCTATGCATACATTTATTTCAATTATTCTTATTTAAATATTTCCCTTCTTCTCATTATTTTTTTCTTTCCCTAAGCCGCCTTTCTACTTATATAGATGCGCTGGTTGTTTCTCATTTTACTTAAATGTGTTTTAAAATATATCAATGGATCAAACTGCATAAGGCAACCATACTTTGGATTGACATCTGTTATGGTTTGCGGCCAAGTAGAATATAAGGAAATGAGTTATTTTATGCGTCTGTCATAAATTGTGTGTATGTGTAAGTTGTTGTCTTTTAGCACATATTCACGTTCACAGAGGATTGACAATTCGAGTTGCTACTTGACCTTATTACCAAAAAATTTGCATCATTTTATGCCGCTTACATTTGCAGATTGAAAGCTGCCAAATTCACGTCTAAACATTCATCAAATATATTTCAAGTGTTGGGCACACGACATGAGGAAAGTAAGCACGTGACACACCTGACTTCGTGCGTGTCTGTGATGTTGGAAAATTTAAAAATAATTAAATTTTAGAACAAATTTTTTGGTATGACTTATTTGATATGAAAATCCGAAGTTGACACGATGTTTGCAGAATATGGTATAAATCTATAAGCAAATCAAAATGTTTTTTATAAACAACTGAAACGTAAAACGTTTTGTGCGCAGTTTAATGATATAGTTGTCCGACTCAATTGGCATACACACATGCTGCGTCAGAATTGAAAAAGAAGTTTGTATAAAAACTAACCGACGGAGACTGCAAGTTGTGGCTCGGATGTTGTATGGTTTATTCAGTTTGTAAAAAAAGAAATACACCAAAATAAAATACATGCACACATCTCTGATTCACAGCAAGGCTTTAAAGCAAACGCTGCACATACATATGTATGTACACACATAGGTATATATGTACGCATATTCATTCAGCATCACAAACAATAGACTGATATGTGAGCTAGGGGTTGGGAGGCAGGTGTCAGTCACACACGGAGTATCTCAGCAGCAATTACTTAATTGAATTCGTCTAACAATCTTGCTGAAAAACTTCATCATTAGCCTCGAGTCAGGCTGGAGTCGAGAGACACATATTATTGTTTAATTTGTAGGTGGTTTTGCAGTTAAAATTAATTTATATTAAAGTTGTATGTTGCATATAAAGGAATAGAATTTTCATTTGACTTGACGCTTAATTTGTTTGTATGCCCTCTGCATAGCACAAATTCCAAAAATGATTTGTATTAATTTAATACTGTCTTCTGAGCTTTGTTGTTGGCAAAATGTTTGCCATTGTCAAGAAATCACAGCGGTTCAGATTAAATTAACCAAGCAGCTGCATTTTAGATTTCAATATTTGTATCTGTACCTGCTTAGCTCATAAGAAGAACAACAGAATATGCAAATGTGCTCTAACCTAAATATACTTTTAAAGACGAGTTTAATATGCGAAAGTTTGCAATGGATTTGTGTCTTATGGCATAACATTATTTATTAAACAAGTTGCGTTTATACCTCTTTTGTTAGCAGCAGGAATAACTTCGAAGAATACATGTGTTAATCAAGTGGAGCAGGATTTTTTAATCCAAAAGTACTACAGAACTAAATGGCGTTTAACAATATGCCCTTTAATGCTTGTACTAGTTTTATATTTGCTACTAAGTTGTAATACTCTGTACCCGATTCCATTCACCACACGACACTTATCATTTCTGAGACAGATCGGCTCGTAACTGGAAATTGTTGACTGCAACATAGTTGCACATTTTTAATCTCGTCAAAGTCTACTTCCAGCTGATTGCGCACCCGCCTCTCTGTAATACTTAGTAGCGAGCTGCGTGCTGGTTGTACTTGATGGCTCCAATTTAGTATTCGTAGTATTTGTATTATTATATTGATAGGCATTGGTAGATAGGTGAAATGAATGCAGTTGAGGCTAGTTGCATTCAGTAATCTCGAATCGCTGCTCATGTGAAAATGTTTGAGGCAGTCTTCCTAGTCGCGATTAGTGCTATTGTTGTTCTATGTTGGGTTCTGTATGGGATTCGATATGAGCGCCTTGTCAAGCACATCGACCATCAGTTTTCTGGGCCACAATCCTGGCCAGTTGTGGGCAACCTATCACAGATGGGCATGAGCCCAGACGGTAAGCGAAAATGTCAACGGTTAACACTAAGTGCGATAGCCTTTGAAGTCTAATTGGCATACGTTTTTATGATTCCGTGCATATCTATGTGATAGGACTGGTTATTTTTTTTTTCGATTTGTTTTTTGTGTTAATTAAAATTCTGGTTTTCTTGTTGCTATCCTAAAGGTACAATTATTAATATGTTCGATTTAATCGTGATGTTAGCGCCTTTTGGCATTCAGTCTTGAATCTGGTTGCTGCTGTCATCTGTCGCAGTTTATGTATGTGCAAGAAAAAACATTTGTTTACCTGTTCAAATCAAGTTTGTTATATGATTCGTGCAAATATTAAATGCGCCTCTTTCTTTTTAATGCGCGTCACAACTTAATTTGTATAAAAGCATATCAAACGCATATTAAACACATTCAATATAATTGTCCTGAACAAACTTAAAATTGATACCCGATAACCTTTCGACTATAGAAAATAGCTAAGCTTATATAATTCCTCGTTCTTGGCCTTCCATTTAATGTGTCATGCTATCGATACAAATAATATAAAATGAAACTGTGTAGGTTATACGAAGACCTTCGTTCTAAGAAAAAAATGAAAATAAATACAATTCAATATTCTCAATATTCTGTCTATAGACAGACAGCAGTACCATACAGCCTATGTTCCTGGTCATGATAATATATCCTTTCTTTTGATAAGGGAACATTAGAGCTGCCTGTTACACATTAACAACACATTAACTTAGAAAATTGAATGTTATCACCAACCGACTGTTAATGGGAAACCTAAAACACGAGTTGTGAAATACAAAAACGTATACAGGCTAGGACTCTAGAGTCCTTATATATATATATATATATATATTATAGTCTTATCCTATATTAGATAAGATATCTAATTGCTAGATAGCTTAGAATATAAGATTTAATCGAACGGAATACTCTTCAATGCTTATTGCTACATTATATTACATTACACAGGACCCGCAACGATACACTTAAAAAAAATTATAGAGACAAATTGACTCCTTAAATATGGCCAGCTAAGGCTAAAAGAATATGCGAATATATACGTAGTTGATATTATTTATAAGAACACAAACCTAAAACCTGAAAATAGGAATAAGCATTTATTTATGCCTTTCTAAGTTTATAATTGCTTTTGAGTATGATTAAAAGCCTTAATATAATTAGTAAGCTGTTACTTAATTTATTCATGCCCCTATAATTATTTAATCTACGAGAGTATTCAGAGCAATGAGAAAATTATAATAATTATTAGCTAATTGCAATAATAACAAAAACAACAGCCTATTACAAACCCTCAGCAACAATATTGCAACATAAATAAAATAGAACTAAAACAATTTTTTAAAGCAATTAAGTCAGATTAGGTGTCGATCATATAGCAGACATTGAACCTTAGAAAGGAATAGATGTACATGATAGCGCTTAGCTAAAGTCGCAAGACTTAAATATTAATAAACTTACTGCCGGCCGGCGAGACACGATCCCAAGATCAGGGTGATCGCTTGCTGCTAAAACTTGTTTTGGCCTTGACGGTTTGCTTCAGCTACTGGAAATAATAATATACGTAATTGTTTTTGAAATTGGCGAATGTTATGCGAATCGAAAGCGAAATTAAGATTTGCAAATTTGCAACCGGTTTGTCAGCTCGATTTACAGTTAGACACTTTTTTATGGGTCTCTTGCTCATTCATTGGACTATTCCGTGTTTTAGCACGCTTTGTTCTTCGGCTGGAAATAGTTTTTGCTGCTGAGAAAGATTCTTTGACCCACTGACTGCTGTGGTTAGTGGCAAACAGTGGTGATTAGAAAAACATTAGTTTTTTAATATGCTTTCAACAATTCGCTGCATATATTTTTCAATTAAAAAACGAGTATGCGGCAAAAACAATAAATGTACGAATTATTTTTCTGGGAGTGGTCCATTTGATCGAGTCAACATGTTCAGAGCCTATTTCTCAAGCTTTGAGGGGTGGGCAGCAATCCATTCAAGAGCGCGCTGGATCTCAACTGGGATTGGGGGTGGTGTGGGCAGCAAATCGCTCTGGGGCTGGTAACCATTCTCATCAGCCACATACTTAACCAGAACATGGACACCTTCGGGCGAGACCCAGCTGAAGTCTCCCTGAGAGTTTCCGTGCTCGTCACCGCTCTGAGCTTGTTCAATGCCATTGGAGGTCTTCAGGAGGGTATTGAAACCATCTGGGCGCACATCGTCCTTGCGTTCAAGAGTTTCTGCATTCGCTTCAGACTCCACAGCGGCGGCCAGGCCAATAACTGCGCAGATCAACAGCTGAAAGACCAGATCAGATACTTTTTACACATTGCCAATCTCTAACATCTTTTGAGGTACTCACGATTTTGAACATTTTGAGTTAAGTGCAGTTGTTGATTGTAAGGAACAAACGTTGACTGATGATCCATTTCAGATAGGCGCCGTCTTATATACAGCTTCATCTGATGAAAAAAAAAACAGACCTGTTCCTCCATGTCGCATATGCAAATTTAATATCAAAAATAAACCAACTCATCACGCCGAATTTTGAAAAAAAAGCAACTTGCTAACCTATTAGACGAGTTTCTACAATTGAAGCTGCATATTATATAACAGTCTACAGTCTATATAAATACTTTGCCTTCTAAAAGAGAGTACAGTAGAACCTAGATTATTTGTGTTGCTAGGCAACGAGCTCACAATGGATAATCGTATATCCAAGTGATAAGCGGTCACATGTACCTGTAAAGAAAAATATGTTTATAGATCAACCACTCAACTTCCCGGTTAATAGAAGTTCGAGCTTGATAATGATATATGTACAGTCGAATTTCCACTGTATCTCACAAGAATGCCGGGGTGCTATCACTAGTTTAACAATAATAAAATTCTAATTTTTAAATAATAATAAGTAAGAGGTTCTTGTCGGGAACTCCCGACTAGGGGATACCCTGAACCCTCTTCCAACATCAAATGTATATATATATTCCATTTTAGAAGCTATATGCCAAGATTGGGGACTCTAGCTCTTATTATTTACCAAAATTGCCCAAAAAACAGGATATCAATATCAATTTTTATCTATTGCTTGGAAACGGAGTAAGTTATCGATTAGCGGAAACAAACTCGATCTGCGCAGGCACCTACATCTAAAAATGTTTAAGTGTCTAGCTCTTATATATTCTGAGATCCTTGCGTTCATACATACGGACGGACGGACGGACAGACAGACGGCCATGGCTAGATCGACTCGGCTATTGATGCTGATCAAGAATATATATACTTTATTTGGGTTAAAATTTTGGATTTCCTTTTTTTGATGCCAATCGATAGAACGGATCCTTACGAGTCAAAAATGTTATGAAATTGCAAAATCGGACATTATTTGACGGAAATATTCCAAAAAACCATCAAAAAGGTTGACTTTTCGAATGAATCGGTTTTTTGTCTACAACATTTTTTTTAACAAAACGATGTTTATTTGGCTTGAATACGCATTCAAAAAGGTATAACATTTTAAAATCAGACATTATTTACCCGAGATATTAAAAAAAAATCATCGAAGAAGTTTCGATTTTCGCACCGACTCCGCGCGGAGTTATGTCGTTTTGGAACGTCATATCTCCGCGCGAAGCTATTACCCGAGATATTAAAATAAATCATCGAAAAAGTATCGATTTTCGCACCGACCTCTTTTTTGAAAAAAAAAAACGTGATGTAACCCGTTGCCATTTTGTCGATTTGGGTCAAAATTTTGGATTTCCTTTTTTTGATGCCAATCGATAGAATGGATCCTTACGAGTCAAAAATCGTATGAAATTGCAAAATCGGACATTATTTGACGGAAATATTCCAAAAAATCATCAAAAAGGTTGACTTCACGAATGAATCGGCTTTTTGTCTACAACATTTTTTTTTTAACAAAACGATGTTTAGTTTACTTGAATCCGTATTCAAAAAGGTATAACATTTTAAAATCAGACATTATTTACCCGAAATATTAAAAAAAAATCATCCAAATAGTTTCGATTTTCGCACGGACTCCGCGCGGAGTTATGTCGTTTTGGAACGTCATATCTCCGCGCGAAGCTATTACCCGAGATATTAAAATAAATCATCGAATAGGTATCGATTTTCGCACCGACTCCGCGGGGAGTTATGTCGTTTTAGAACGTCATATCTCCCCGCGCAGCTTTTACGCGAGATATTAAAATAAATCATCGAAAAAGTTTCGAGTTTCGCACGACATCTATTTTGAAAAAAAAACGTGATGTAATCCGTTGCCATTTTGTCGATTTGGGTCAAAATTTTAGATTTCTTTTTTTGATGCCAATTGATAGAACTGATACTTACGAGTCAAAAATGGTATAAAATTCCAAAATCGGACATTATTGGACGGAAATATTCCAAAATATGTTCAAAAAAGTTGACTTTACGAACTAATGGTTCTTTTTTTTGTCTTTAACATTTTTGAACCCATCGATGCTTAATTTTCATAAATGCCAATTGATGGTAGGGATCCGTATGCATTCAAAACGATATAACATTTTAAAATCCGACATTATATACCCGAGATATTAAAAAAAAATCATCGAAAAAGTTTCGATTTTCGCACGGACTCCGCGCGGAGTTATGTCGTTTTGGAACGTCATATCTCCGCGCGAAGCTATTACCCGAGATATTAATATAAATCATCGAATAAGTATCGATTTTCGCACCGAAAAAAAACGTGATGTAACCCGTTGCCATTTTGTCGATTTGGGACAAAATTTTAGATTTCTTTTTTTGATGCCAATTGATAGAACTGATACTTACGAGTCAAAAATGGTATAAAATTCCAAAATCGGACATTATTGGACGGAAATATTCCAAAATATGTTCAAAAAGGTTGACTTTACGAACTAATGGTTCTTTTTTTTTTGTCTTTAACATTTTTGAACCCATCGATGCTTAATTTTCATAAATGCCAATTGATGGTAGGGATCCGTATGCATTCAAAACGATATAACATTTTAAAATCCGACATTATATACCCGAGATATTAAAAAAAATCATCGAAAAAGTTTCGATTTTCGCACGGACTCCGCGCGGAGTTATGTCGTTTTGGAACGTCATATCTCCGCGCGGAGCTATTACCCGAGATATTAAAATAAATCATCGAAAAAGTATCGATTTTCGCACCGACCTCTATTTTGAAAAAAAAGTGATATAAACCGTTGCCATTTTGTCGATTTGGGTCCAAATTTTGGATTTCTTTTTTTGATGCCAATTGAAAGAACTGATCCCTTCGAGTCAAAAATGGTATGAAATTGCAAAATCGGACATTATTTGACGGAAATATTCCAAAAAATCATCAAAAAGGTTGACTTTTCGAATGAATCGGTTTTTTGTCTACAACATTTTTTTTTTAACAAAACGATGTTTATTTTGCTTGAATACGCATTCAAAAAGGTATAACATTTTAAAATCAGACATTATTTACCCGAGATATTAAAAAAAAATCATCGAAAAAGTTTCGATTTTCGCACCGACTCCGCGGGGTAACTCGTTTTAGAACGTCATATCTCCCCGCGCAGCTTTTACCCGAGATATTAAAAAAAAATCATCGAAAAAGTTTCGAATTTCGCACCGACCTCGATTTTGAAAAAAAAAAACGTGATGTAACCCGTTGCCATTTTGTCGATTTGGGTCAAAATTTTGAATTTAGCACGATGATAAAAAAATAAACTTAAATAGAATTACAAAAAAAGTCGCAATAACCATGCTGTTAAAATGCGAAGCAGACGCGCATGAATGTGTGTTTGTACATGTATACAGAAATTCTTAAAGATGCTGCTCTATTCAATTGCGCAGTTTCATAAATCTTTGCTCACTACTGACAACATTTTAATTCATAATGTTCGCGATCATTTTTTTTTCAGGCACTGCCTTTTCTAAAACTTATAAAACAACCGAAAATAAACAATCAAAATAGTTGATCATATGAATTTATTTTGAATTTCAAAAATCAATCATGCTGCGATATTGTATATAGTAAAATTATAGAGAGAAGTCCGTTAGAAGATCCATTCAACAGGTGCGCTCAGGTGCCACTTTTTAAAGCTTAATGCTCGGGCTTTGATGGGTGAGCAGCAATCCATTCAAGACTGCGCTGGATCTCAGCTGGGATCGGGGGTGGTACGGGCAGAGATGCGCCTTGTGGCTGATATCCGTTCTCATCAGCAACATAAGAGATTTCGATTTTTTCGCCCTCAGGCGAGATCCAGGCAAAGCTGCCGTGGATGTTTCCGTGCTCATCACCGCTCTCTGCGCGTGTGATATGGTTGGTTGTATCAAGGCTTGCGTCGAAACCATCCGGGCGAATATCATCCTTGCGGGAAACAACTTCGGCCTTTACATCGTCAGGGTTAGGGGCAACTGGCAAGGCGGCGGCCAGGCCGATAACTGCACAGATCATCACCTAATACGAGCTCAGTTTATTTATACACTTTTCAACCCAATCCATTTCAGAACTTACAATTTTAAACATTTTGATTTTAGTGCAGTTGCTGACTGTAGGGACTAGCTTTCACTGATGATCCAGTCTAGATAGGAGCTGCCTTTTATACAGCTTTCTTTGTTGTGAAAGAAATATAAGACCTGTTCCTAAGCATCATAAATGCAAATTTGGGCCGAATATTCAAAATACGTGCAATCTTCATTTAGCCGAATTACGAAAACTCTTTAAGGCTTTTTGACAGAAATATCTTTATTCAATTGAATTTTAATTTCATACTTATTTTTTGTATTAATGAATGTCTTACAAAAAGTATCTTTAAAACTTAAATGTTGTCTTGACTTGGATATTTTCAATCAAAATTATTCATACCTGAGTACTCCAGAAAAGCATCATACGCTATGATAGAATTATAAAACCCTCAATGAGAGTGGATTTCTAATGTTCTGATTATTTTAAATGCTAAAGTGCATCAGCGGCTGCTGAAAAAAAACGTGTTCATCTTCTCCAAGACTTGTTATGACTGTTATATTAGAACTCTTCGAATCACGTCCTGCATGTATTCACATAACTAAAAACTAGCTCAAAAGTATCTGAATTCGATGGATATGACTTCTTTGTTGGTTGAGAAAATGAATGTCACGAAAATTATTTCGGGATTTCGGGAGACCTGTACAACTGTACAGGTCTCCTAATACTTATTATCAATGTTTTAATACCAAAATTCAATTTGCGGCCTTCTGTTTTTATGGGCACTATATAATTAAGAATCTCCTGCATAATGGAAAATATACTTAAAAGCTGATAAAAAGACCTGCCTGAGCCTATCAAATGTTGTCTACCAGTATGCAATGCGTCGAAGTACATATCCGGGTCCACAAATAAATATACAACACATAAACAATTCGTTATCTGCACAAGATTTGATTGGTTTAAAATAACATGTTTCTTTTTAAATACCGGCAATTTGACTACCATGCCACTTCAGCGTTCTGGTTCTTATTAAGATAACATATTCTTATATAATCTTGAGTAAGAAGTTTATATTCCCATAAAGAAACACGTTCTTGACCAGCATCAGCAGCCAACTCCGCCATTATTAACGCAACGATCTAATCAAGTAGTTACTTATAAGAGCTTAATATAGGAAAAAAATTAGGAGGTGATACGTGCAGTTCTAAGTTGTTATAGATTATTAAAACTTGGCAGCGTCTTCATGAAATGAATAAATCGAGAATGTAAGGATGTCTTTTGCACGCCGAATACCTTTGCAGGCGGGCTATGTAAGAATAGTGAAGCTTTTAAATACTGAGGTTGATTAAATAATCATAGAACACAGAATAATTTCACATACAAGAACCTACTTTTTGACCAATCGTTCCAATGGCAGCTATATGACGGACCTAGGCAAAGTTTCAGGACGATAGCCTTAAAACTGAGATACTAGTTCGTATAGAAACAGCTAGATGGATGGACGGTTGCGCCGATGCTAGTGGGGTAGAAGAAACTCTTGTGTTGTATTCATAAATCCAAAATATTTCACCATTTGCATCCCTCACCATATTTATTTCATATGTATTTCCTGACCTCTTTTTAAAATCTGCCAATAAGCCCTGAACTTATTGAATATCGCATTTTCTATTATGTTGGGTTAAGGGAAAAGGAAGCAAAGCCGCAGCATAAAGTACTCACGTGAGCAACTTGCGGAGTGCTTGTGTGTTTCTTTGTTTATGAATTTGTTTAGGCTAGCTCTCAGTCGAGTACTCCCGTAAATCTCAGCAAGAGTATTTAGCTGATCTATGTTAATGATATACACATATATGATAAAATGAGCCTGATTTATGATACTTTTGGACTGAAAATTGGTAATGAAAATTGTTGTTATATATTATTAATAGAACCCAGGACCTGTCTGTCCAATGATAACAATTTTGCTTGATAGACAAAACTTCTTTTTAATTTGTCATAAACAATGCGCGGATAACTTAAAAATTATAAACAAGGGAAGTTCGAGGGTCAAGTCCATATACGATCCAATATACACTGCCAATAGCCATTTAGTGCTTACTCTCGTACTCGGGTGCTGGGGGATGGGCGGCCAACCATTGGAGAGCTCGTTCAATTTCGACTGGGACTGGGGGTGGGGTTGGCAGAGCTGCGCCCTGTGGCTGGTATCCGTTCTCGTCAGCTACATAAGAAATTTCAATTTTTTCACCCTCGGGCGAGACCCAAGAGAAGCTGCCGTGGATGTTTCCGTGCTCATCTCCACTCTCTGAGCGGCCAATCTTGTTGCTTGTTTCCAGAGAAGAGTCGAAACCATCCGGGCGCACATCATCCTTGCGGGAAACAACTTCGGCGTGCACATCCTCAGAAGAAGGAGCAACTGGCAAGGCGGCGGCCAGGCCGATAACTGCGCAGATCAATAGCTGAAAGATGTGCAACATAGTTAGCCACTGACAATCCTTGTCTTCGTGTCCAGCTACTTACGGCTTTGAACATTTTGATGTAAGTGCAGTTGTGGAACGTGAGACGAACGTTGACTGATGATCCACTCAGAGAGTTCGCGGTCTTATATAGCTCTCTCGGTATACCTATTCGATGACATTTTGCGTGCAACAGATATGCAAATTTCTCTCGAAATTAACGAGGCCCGCTTATAATGTACATATTATTGATTTTGACTGTTGCAGTGCATTAATAACTAGAGAAAACGGGTCTAGCTGCTTGCAAACTTGTTTCGACTTCTAAATAACTGCTTAAAAATTCCCAAAATAACGCATCGCTGAATATCTGCTTCGCAACAGCTCTCGTACAGAAGAAATTTAATTCTAACCGAGCCCCAATTTCTGGTTACTAGCTTATGCTATTCAGTCATTTACTTTACAGATCGTTGTAAATATAGGGAGTTTAGCTTCCGAAATAATCCTCTACGCCCTTATCTGTCTTGTTAAATATATCCACTAGCTTTATACATATAGCTGAAGAGTTGAATGTAACTCAAAAGCTTACAATTATTTTATTATAAATAAAATCACAAAGTTCATAATATTTAAGCAAAACAAATTTATTAACATAACAAAATGTTATAAGGTAAAATAAACTAATAAATATTTAATATTAAGTACAAGAAAATAATATTTTTTAAACATATCCATAATATACAATTTGGGTCGTCAAGTCAATTTGCCGTTTTTTGCCACAAAGCATATTTTGTGGACATCCGCCTGAACAATCTATTTGATTATTGCCTACTTTTAGGCACTGGAAAAAGTTGCGACGGGATTCTAACCGATTTTAACAGAACACCATTCTGCAAAGATGTGCGGTAAAGTTCAATACCTAGAAGCTATTGCAAAAAAAAATTTCAAATATTTATTCTTATACTTCAATTTGACAACTACTGAGAACTGCGAGCAAGATTTTAACTGAACACTTAATTTTTTAATTGTCCTAACCGAGTCCATATATACGGGTCAGATGAAATAGTCCCAGTCAAGTCAAGGCCTACTCCTGAACAATATGTACATATATATGTCTTTTCAGATATTTATATAGGTGAAAATCTTGTTATATCTGAAAAGCTATTATAGTTTTTCTTAAACGGTAAGCCCGTAAGCCACTTTCTTAAAATCGCCCAAATTAACATAAAAAGTAAAATATTAAAAGATATTTTTTAATTATTGCCAAAAAAGTGTTAATTTATGCCTTAGGAACACGTTTTAAAAGTAGAAGTTGTTTGTGATGTCACAGATTAAGTGGATATAGTTCATGAATTGGTTTGGTCTAATTTTTAATTTATTTAACAACGACACGATTCAGCTAAACAGATAGCTTTGGTGACACATGGAAACAAGTTTGCGACCAGTTGGCTCAACCCGCTCTTGATGCACTTTAGCATTCAATAAAAGATTATAGCACTATATCATTATTTTTGAACTCGCATTTGTTTGGTGTTGTTCAAGCATTGGTTTTGCGTGTGGGTGTGTCGGTTAAACCCATAACTCACAGCCATAATTGTCTGATGCGTCTGAACAGGTCTCTAAGTGGACACTCTCTAAGCTGCGTCTGTATAAAAGACACCGTCTGGTCGTTGCGCAGCATCAGTCAACGTTCGCTTTCTGTGTTCTACAACTGCCAAAAATATCAAAATGTTTAAAGTAGTAAGTAGTTTGAGACTGGGGATTAGAGGCAGTTAATAACTATTTGTTACAGTTGATGATTTGCGCCTTTTTCGGCATGGCCGTCGCCTTGTCACCTGGTCTATTGCATGGCATCCGTCCGGTGGCGCATCCAGTGCGCTCCAGCCCCGTTGGGCACGGCGAGGATGTGCACGCTGAAGTGCTTTCTCGCAAGGATGATGTGCGCGCTGATGGCTTCGACGCAAGCCTTGAGACCAGCAACCATATTAGCCGCGCAGAAAGCGGGGATGAGCACGGAAACATCCACGGTAGCTTTGCCTGGGTTTCGCCCGAGGGTGAACAAATCCAGATCTCTTATGTGGCTGATGAGAACGGCTACCAGCCACAGGGTGCAGCTCTGCCAACCCCGCCTCCAATTCCAGTTGAAATCGAGCGTGCCCTTGCCTGGATTGCAGCACATCCTCCAGCACCCGAGAAATACTCTCATCATTAAGTCTATGATCTAGTTGCATGGACTTGTTTCTGAAACTCTGTTGTGCTTAAGTAACTCGATTCTTAAAGAGAGTTAAATAAACAACGTGTAATACAGTCATGAGATCGTGTACTGAATTTGAATTAAATAATGTTTCTTATTTCTTACTTTTTTACCTTAAAAGACTGAAACATTTACCAGCTTCACTCAATAAAGAAAAGATATCTCACTTTAAATATTAATATTTACTTATATCTATTAGCATGTTCGCGCAAGTGAACTTTTTGAAGTAAAAATATATAACCAAGTTTATAATTAGCTTGTCGCAGTCTTCGGTAGAAGAGCTGTCTGAGTGAGCCATGCATTCAGGCAACAAAACAGCTAAGATTCGAAAGCATGTGGAGATCTTTGTTTTCGCTTGTTACATGTTTTAGATTGCACGTAATTCTAAGAAATAGTGACTGAAATAGACAGTTGTCAGCCATTGACTTTTTAACTATAGCTCTTTTTAGTGTAAATGTAATCATTGAACGAATTGCCAGACAGAAACATCTAAGACCGCATAAAGACGATTTCAGATCTACGGTAAATTGACGCATTTGTTACGTTAGAATAAACTAAGAGCACAAAACTAAGGCTGTACCTTTGAAACCTTAATGACTTTGTGAATATGTATAATTGCATTTTTATTATAAGAAAAACATAAAAGCATAGAAAACAAAACTAATAAATATCCAATATGCTTGTTTTGCGCCCAGCGATGAGTAGATGAAATGTAAATTAGCCACGTTTTGTTTAGCCTAAAAACGCCAATTCGATTATTTTTGACACCTAGCCAAACCTGACTTCTATTATCAGTAAACTGCAAACGTGTCTTCTAGTTAACAAACTAAAGTCAAACCTCATACCAAAAGTAAAGTAAAATATTATATGTTCATCTTTGCAGCCCATTTAAGAAATCTCTTAAAATGGTATAAACAATACAATTACAAAAACTTTCGCATCTGGATGGGCCCAATGCCCTATGTGCTATTCATAGAGTGCAAATATGTAGAGGTAAGCAATTAAACGCACATCAAATCCAGTTCTGATCTTTATTTCTATGAACCAGCACGTTTTAAGCAGCACTGCTCTGACGTACAAACAAGATCCATATACGTTGCTCTACCCCTGGCTGGGCAGTGGCCTGCTCACCGGGAATGGCCATCATTGGGCGGTGCGGCGCAAGCTAATAACGCCCTCATTTCACTTCCGCATCCTTAAGGACTTTCTGCACATTATAAACACGACGAGCAATCGTTTCATGAAGCTGCTGGAACAGGAGTCAGACGCATCGCAGGGCCAAGTGATGGATATGCAGCGGCTAGTCTCTAGACTTACCATCGATGTCATTTGCGGTAAGCCCTGTAAGCTCCCTTTTCATTTCGTATATGCAAAATGCAATTTGCTGCAGAGACCGCAATGGGCACTCGAGTTAACAGCATTGAGGGACGACCATCGCCGATTGTGGGTGCCATCGATGATCTTTGCCACATCATACCCGAGCGTGTGTTCTCGATATTTAAGCGCTTGGATTGGTTTTTTAAATTTACATCGTTATATAGGATACATCAGCAGGCTCTGAACACACTGCAAGTCGAGTTCGCTCAGGTTGGCAGCCAAAAATGCCATTCCTTAGCCTCGTATTCAACCATTCACATACATTTCAGATCATTGAGCAGCGTCGTCGCTTGATTCAAACTTCAAACTACCAAGCGGCGCAGTCGGACGATGAGCTACTGGACGCCAAGCGACCTAAAATGGCATTCTTAGATAACCTAATAACCGCCAAAGTAGATGGAAAATCTTTAACATTCCAGGACATCTTTGAGGAAGTTTCCACATTCATGTTTGAGGTAAGTCCTTTTTAATACATACATATTTGTATGTTTGCGCATTAAGCAGTGAAACGGATAAAATTATACTACTTAGTAGTATTACTAAAAAAAAATCGTCGCTAGGCCAATATTGCCAATATTTTCAAAAACCCTTTCTTGTTTCTTTATCAGATAGATAAAGATTACCGAATTTGCAATAGATTTTTATTTTTCATCCTGATTGTTAAAATAATATGTTAGAAGAAGATCTTCAGATCTTTTTCAAATTATACAAAGCTTCCAATTAATTATTTGGGTTTGAAAACGTTCTAACACAGCTTGGCTAATACTATTTATGAGAATGGGGTGTAAAAAAAACAGCATTCTCAAAAGACGATTTAAAGAAATTGACAATTTCAACCAAATTTTTATTTCTCATAAATTATGTTTTTAATGTTGATGATTTTGAATCCTTAGGGTCATGATACTACCGCTTCAGCCATTACATTTTCCATCTGGTGCATGGCCAGGGCACCGGATGTACAACAACGCGCCCATGAGGAGCAAGTCATCCTGTACGGCAATGAAAAGGAGCGTGAGCCCACATACGAGGAGCTGCAGGACATGAAGTATTTGGATTTGGTCATCAAGGAAACATTGCGTTTGTTTCCCAGTGTGCCATTCATATTTCGAACGGCCCGCGAGCCAAGTGTCATAAGTGAGTGATGAATGCTGCAGGCGTGTTCCCTGTCTAAGTTAACTGTCTGCATTACAGTTGACAAATACGTGCCCCAGGGCACGACCATTGCGCTGCCTATCATGGCCATTGGGCATAGCCCGCACAGCTTTGAAGAGCCCTTCGAGTTTCGGCCTGAGCGATTCGAGGCCACTGAACGAACCCAGGCCAATGCCTTTGACAATGTGCCATTCAGTGCGGGTCCAAGGAACTGCATAGGTATGTATCACTTGTATGATTTATCAACTGTATACTCTTTCATCATTTAACTAACAGGTCAGAAGTTTGCGCTGCTTGAGCTGAAGGTGACGCTGTCTAAATTGCTGCGCAGATTCCGCATTCTACCCGCACCCTTAGCTAAACAGACCATTGCACAGGTCTTTAATGCTAATTATAAGCCCGGGCCCCAAGAGTTGAAGCTACACATGCCCATTACTCTCAAGTCTTTAACAGGTGTGCCCGTGCGACTGCAAAGGCGATGAAGTCAAAGCTCGGGCTTAGTTGGCCTCATTTTTTTCTCAAAGCTTCTGTACTTTATATATATTTGCACGCTTCTAAAGGTTTCATCACAAGTCGTAATATTCTACATTGACCTACAAAGCTTATCAGCTTCTGTGAGGCCTCGTCGTTAAGTGCCCAACTCTCTAATTGTACTAATCAGTGCAGCTCTCTCAGCGTTTTCTTTGAAGTTTCACGTATATACGAACAATTATTTAGCATACTATATATTATATAAGTGCGATTTCCAATTAGTTCTTATTAATTTCGCGGGTAAGGTGGAGGCGTGGTGTAAGGCATCCAAAAAGTAAAATGTGCTTGATCTGTTTATCGTATACCTGCGGTTTTATTTGATCGAAATATAAGAAATAAATATATTTTGCTTATGAAATGGCCTGATCTAGCGGTTAAGGCATAAACCAAACGAATTTAAGCTTAATTTGTCTAGAAGTATTTACGTGGTGCATATTCGTCGAAATACATATGTAACTCGAATGTACACGAACTCTAAATAATCTTCAGTGAATCCAACCGCGCAATAGAGGATTTTATTGCATAGCTGTTCGTTGTTTGAGCCTGATTTGTATGCCGTTTTCGGATTTGAGCGTTACACGAATGTTTAGTACCGGATCGTATTCACTTTGAGGCACGCAGTCCACTTGGCTGTGGTCATTGATGCCCGGGGGCAGGCCATCCACGGCGGGCAGTATTTCAAAGTGCCGTACCAGCAACGAGAGCAGCGCCTGGAGCTGATACATTGCATACTTTTCGGCTGCAAGGTAGAAAGATTAGACATGGTCAGGCTGATCGGGCTGTAGGGCAGACTTACCAATGCAGCGTCTGGGTCCAGCGCTGAACGGGACACTCTTGAAGGCTTCGATGCCTTCGTTCCTGTTCGCCCGCTCGAATCGCTCCGGCCTGAAAACGCAGGGCTCATCAAAGTATCGCTCGTTGTAACCCATCGCAATGAGGCACATGATGACAGTTGTGCGCTTGGCTACCTTTGTCCCATCTGGAGGGGCGACAGAACCTTAGATTGGCCAAAATCATTAAATCTTCGTATACTTACTTATGTCTATGGATTTGCGGTTGGTGCGTGCTATCAGCGGTACAGCGGGATACAGGCGCAGCGTCTCGCGTATAACCAACTCCAGATAGTGCATTTGCTCCAACCGCGCCATGTCCGCTTCTTCGGACATATTTTTTCCAAAAATACGCAGCTGTTCGTCATAGACCTTCTGCTGTATTTCTGGATGACGGGAGAGCGTGTAAATGGTAAAAGAGATCGCAGAGGCAACTGGATCGTGGCCCTATTGGAAAAGAGCAATTTTAGCTAGAGTCTATACAAGGTAGATTTGTGAATTCAAGCTTACCGTAAATATAAACGTGGATAGCTCCTCGACTATCTCGCGCTCCTTGAGCGCGTCCCCATCAAGCTTGGAGCACAGAAGAACATCCAAGAAAGACTTGTTTTTGTGATCGTTGCTTTTGGTCAACTGCTGTTGCCTTTGTCTGTCGGATATTATCTGATGGAATAATGGTTGAGCGGACATTGCATCTAAAAAGTTAATTATAAAAACTTACGCGTTTTATTTCATTCCTGAGCAAGTGCAGCGCCCGTCGCTGCTTCAAGTAGTAGGGAGTCAGTCGGAAAAGTGCATCGAAGCGCTTGACTATACTAAAGGTGCGCTCCTGAACGATTTCGCACAGGCTAGCAGAGGGGAAAAGTGTATAACAACTGATCGACTGAATGCTAGGATTATATATTTAAGCTTACTCTTTAATGGCGCTGTGTAAATCTGACGGCTCATCGTTCAGTGAATTGCTGGCCATGCCAGTTGCATTCTCTAAAAGGATTCATTAAAGGAACAAAGGTGAAATCTATACTTTGGAAAAGTGGATTTTAGTGGATTAAGTTAAGAACCAGCCATTACTGTAAAATGCACCCAATAATAAATGTCGCCTTCGAGTTTGGTTTTACACGGCTATTTCTCCACCCTATCTACTCAATAGAATTTAATGCAACCTAACTTATTATTGGTGCATGCCCATGTGTTCTCTAATCTAGACAAATTTCTTTATTCTTTTTATTAACTTTTTCCTTTTTCCTAATTATTATATACTCTAAATTAAAAAGAATTTTTTTATCTTTTAACACCTACTTTTTGGCAGAAGATTCTAATAACTTCGATGATAAAATTAGCTGTGGGACATATCTAGTCGAATGGGGAAGTAAAATACCCCAAATGTGTCGCTGATGTTAGAAATTTGTAAATTCTGATTAGGCCTTAAATTTTTCTACTCCTCCTTATCATAATTTCATAAAAACTTCCCATTATTTTAAAAATTAAATCATTCTTGCACACAATTTTTAAAACATGTCCTATGCACAGGTACCTTAATAACTCATGGAATATTTTGGGCGCGGTAAAACTTTTTTACCAGACAATCTCTGGCACTTGTAGCCATTTTCTATGTTATAAATCGTATTTATAAAATGGCCATAATAAATTACAAAAATAAACGAGTGCAACGCTCCCGAAACCTCACCCTGAAAGTTAACCACAAAAAAAAATAAAAAATGCCCATGACAAATGCTTAAAGTTTTACAACAACATGCCTGTCCCCGCAACCTGGCACCACTGAGGACCAGCTACCACCTACCGCAAACAATATCCAGCGTACACTTGGCAACCAGCTCCTGGGCGTCAAAGGGCTTTGATGCTTCCGTCTGCTGGCGCAGCTTCTGTACAAACCTATCGCCGGTTCGATGCACCACACGCAAATAGCCCTCGATGGCGGAGCGTTCGAAGGCGGGCCCATAGAGCTTCTGGTGTTTGAGCCAACGAGCACCGGAGCTGGTGAGCAGCCCATCCCCCAGCCAGGGGCGCAGAAACGAATACAAGTGCTCCTTGTACAACAGTGAAGAGCTCGACAACATGTTCTATCAACGGCAAATAACATTAGGGAGCTTTAGTGTAAGTGTTAAGTTTCAGCTGAGGGAATGAACAGAACTCACCTGAATTTCCGCCGGATCGCTGAGCATTATGTGATACTGCAGGAATACAAGCGAACGGAAGCCTTGAAAATCATATTTTCTGCAATACTGTAATACCTTTTTGGGATACTCTGCAGAAAATTAAAAACATTTTAATTGGTAGTATTTCCTACATAAATTTGATTTAAGTTCTAAGGTACATTAAATTCATATCAGTATATACCCCGACCCAAGTCTAACTCATTACCTAAGTTATTGGGATTTGGCAGCCCAATTTCCAAGCGCACAACTTCCCAAAAGCTGTAATTTCCTGTGCGAGCTAGTTTGAGAGTTTTAATATTCAGCATCCTGGCTGTGAAATGTACTCTGGGAACTCAGTTACTGGTAACTGCACGCCTTATGTAGGTTACATTTGAATTTGCAAATTTTATTTGCTTACATTCAGTCGTTCAATAATGTTATGTGCATTGAACTGATAAATTGTCGAGTCCTGGCTGCAAGATGCTATCACTGACTTTAAGGCCTGAAATGGGCCACCCCTCTGAGCTGTGAACTGTGTAAATTGGTTCTGAGCTGACTTTACCACAACTTCATCCCATGTATGCTTTAATGTGTACTTTTTTAATCCGCAATGCACAAGTCAAGCCAAGCAAATGGAAAAGAAATGAGCAAAAGCTGCCAACAAACAGTGACTGCATCAAGTATCTATTAAAATGCAATGAGAGCAAAATCAAACAAGGATAATGGTATTGACAACGTAGAACCCGACGGGGATGCCTACACTGAGCAGCACACTCGCAGAGAGAAAGGAAGCAGAGTCTATTGAGACAGCCATTGCCATTGGAGCATGGCAAAGCTATCAATTGTTGTGCAGCATTTTGTGCGCCGGCTATTGTGCATTTGGAATGATTACTTGGCAAGCACGTTCAGGGAAACAACACCAAAATTACTCAACAAATTGTGCGGGCGTCTGGCATTTGAGATTCGGACTGGGCCTTAGGGCTCGAGGGAAATGCGCTGGAAAACAAAATATGATGAAAATTGCTAAGAATAGTGCAAAAATAAGAAAATGCACCCTGGCTATGATTTCTGCTGAAATATATCGTGATATTAATATCTAAGATAAAGAAATCTTAAATTTATATCATAATCAGGCAAGTGGAATCACAGAAAAGTATTATAAAATAATATTTTATGCTTATAGTTACTTTTCATTAACAGTCGCATTTACATTCTAGTCGCTGCCTGCCTATCCAAATAGTGCATAAATATTGTGCTTACCGGCTGGCTTCAGACCGAACTGAAAGATATTACCCACAAATGGGTATGGCGTTGGGCCCGGTATCATTTCCATAATGCCAGCCATGTGATCAATATAATTGAATATCTTGACACCCTTGAACACCAAAATTGTGGCCAAAACGATTGCCGCTGCTAGCAGAAACATGCTGTTTTCTTTTTTCTTTTTAGCCGATGCAACGAAATATATATATATATATATATTTAATATCACAATTTCTTTTTTACGTTGCGTTCAATTCGCAAATGCTTTGCTTACTGATCGACCCCCAAAAAAAGTCTTCGGCTTTCGCTATAATTTTGTGCTCGAACCGACGATAGTGTAGTCGATAGCTTATCTGTCTTCTAGCTACCCCTTTCTTTCCTCACGGTGTTCAGCTCTAATGTTGGTTACTAAACAGTCATTAACCGGCAACAGTTCAACACAATCATACCAATTATCGCCAGCTTATTACAATAGTATTCAATTACTTGTAGCTGCTGGCAGTAAGATAACTATCAATAATAATTATAATTGCCTCATTACCTGTTCAATTGACTCACTTGAGCATCTGTATTATGACGTGTAAGTCTAAAGGGCACCTTCGTAATCAGTTTGTTTGGTTGCGATTGCCGACAAGAGATTGCAAAATTGCAGCTTGGGCTATAATGTGACTCAAGACTAATAATAACTCCTATAATATTAAAAACAAAAAACAAGTATTCTATTTTTGACTCTTGTTAAAACGGATAACATTCATACTACAGTTTCATATATTAGGGACAATTATTATAATTGTTGTACAGCTAATCTACCGAAGCCTGTGATAAGATATCAATAAGGATATATACATATGTTACCAAACGAGCATTAGCATTTACCCGGCGCTGTCTAGTTTAAGTTCTGCGCGTGGGAAAAGTTAACACTTTTCAAATCGCAGCGCCAATCCCTTTCTTCAAAAAGTTGTATACATATAGATCGCGGCGAATCGACCAAAAAGCTTTAAAAAAAGAACAATAAAATTTAAAAAATGGACAGAAAACAGCACAAAATTTGCA